CATTTAAGAGTTTCCTCTTGTCGGTGCAACTAATTCATGCATCTTCCTCCAGCCAGCTCTATCCCGGGCCATATCCTTGACCTCCCTATACGACATGACACCTAGTGTTCCTTTTATCTGTTCCATTTTATTTTACCTCGATCTTCCTCTTTCTCTTTTGCCCTCTATTCATATATATATATATTTTTACAACACAGGGGGCAAACGAGCATGCGGCTTACCTGATGGTAAGTGACTACTGCCGCCCATGGTCACCCACAACACCTACGGCATTGCAGGTGTGCTGCCGGCCTTTTAAAAAGGAATATTTTAGCTTACTCGAAATTATTTTACGCCTACAAAATTTTAAGTCAATACAAAGATAATTAAAACGGTCTTAAGATAACTCATTTATTATCCAATCCTAATTAATGCCTGGCATTAATTAAGTGTTCATAATTGGAAATTGAATGTACGAACTTCCAACTTGGTTTATAAATTTTATAACCATAAATTCTCGTTATTGTTTCATACGAAACAATTTTATCCGCCGACTTCTTTTGCGTGGTTTTTTTTAAACCGCCGACGCAATAAAAGTTATATTTTTTACGATGATTCAGTTATTATTTTCAATTTAGAGATGAAAATAAAAAAGTTGATTGAAATTATTAAAGTAATTTCATGAATTATAAATTTGAACCTCAATTTAATTCATTCTCGTCGAAGGATTGAATTTCAATCGATTACATAATGAGTGAACATGTTAATAACTAATAAATCATCCTGGCTTTGTATGTATATATATATTTAACATACATACAAAATACATACACATATAAATACATACATAGCACACACAAGGAAATATAACAAATGTAGTCCAAAAATTACAAAGGAATGGAAAAGAGTAACTACAGTGAAAGAAAATGTGATTTGACTTGTCCTTCAAACGAAGCCAAGGATTGAGCACTCCGTATAGACGGTGGCAGCGAGTTCCATAGGCGCACTGCCTGAACGGAAAAGGCTTTGGTGTAGTACACGGAAGTATGTGCAGGGGTTTTTAAACATTTATTCATGAAATTCCCCTTCCAATATATACTATAGCTTCTTATTATATTCTATAGCGACTTAATGGTCGAGGGATGGGCAGCAGCTTCCTTTTTAAAACATCACCAAAGCCTAACTGTGGTTGCCAACTTGCCTGCCAAGCGTACTACAGGTAGTATATATATGTGTAGTAAAATAGTAAATAATTATTATGTACCACCTGATAGAAAGTAACCGTCCCCTATAGACATGAGCAGTGCCATGGACATAACAGAGTATACTATTTTTTTTATACAGTTGCTATTCCTGAGGACTCAGGTATTATTCCTCTGTACACTGTAAATCCACTGCTACATCCCACCCTTCAAACCGAAACACAACCATGCAAAAACAACTACTTCACGGTTGAAACATGCAAAAACAACTACTTCACGGTTGGAACAGAGGTGGCCAAGCAAACGACTTTTGTACAAAGTCTCTCTCTCCCTGTATCTCTAAAACATCTGTGAGATAATTTCCTATTACAGACTATTCTGAGCCAGCGAAAAAGTAGTCTATTTTTCTAAATAAAGAAAAAAATATTCATTTAAGAAATTCAATAGCCGGGTATTTATAACCGGGTCGCCCGGATTTCTTATTTGTACTTTCGTTGTATCCGGCTGTCAGGTATTTTGCGCTAACCTTTTGATTTATACTCTGAAAATAGACACGGCTATAGCTTGTTATTGGACATCGTGCTTAAGAAGAAAGACAAAGATTTATGATGCAAAATATTGTACCTATGATAGTAATAAATAATAATAATAAATAAAACGCGCACGTGACACCCCTAGTGTTGCAGGCGTCCATAGGCTACAGTGACCGTTTACCATCAGACGGGCTGTACGCTTGTTTACCACCTTCGTGGAATAAAAAAATGGATCGAATCTGCGACGTCGTTTCTCAAAAACATCTCTTGTAAACTAATATTTTAAATTGATAATTTTTTTTTTACAACACAGGAGGCAAACGAGAATGCGGCTCACCTGATAGTAAGTGACTACCGCCGCCCATGATCACCCACAACATCGACAAAACGTCATCGCAAGTGTGCTGCCGGCCTTTATAAAAAGGAATATGCTCTTTTCTTGAAGGTTATGTTGTCGTATCGGTTTGGAAATACTACAGCTGGAAGTTGACTCCAAAGAGTGGTTGTGCGTGGAAGAAAGTGCCTTGAAAAACGCACGGTGGAAGACCGGCATCCGTCCAGATGGTTGGGATGAAAGTTTAGCTTATAGGTGGTTGTACGATAGTGAATACATTAAGTACTATACTGTCTCTACTTCTTATTGTGTTCCTTTCTACTCAGGGTTTGCTGGAAGAGAACTCTTACAGAGTTAAGGTCGCCTGTTATCTTCATTTAATATAAATTACAACAATGGTTTCAAAGAGGGACCACGCGGATGTCGACCTGATGGGGTTTATATTCGGCAATAACGCTGTTCGAAGTCAAACTAATAGGTATACCACTAAACCAGGACGACGAATTCGTTAAGCGTAAACCACGACGGTTTCCGATCCAGAGTACGGCATGGCTGATCGCTAGCGAAGGGATCAAGTGTCGCCGTTACAAATTGTTCCCCTCTTTTTGCAGACTACATGCTACATCAATTTATTAGCCTAGTCTCCCTTTTCACTTTTCACATCGGTAGGCCCGTGACCCGCATCAAATACCCGTAGCTAAGACAAGACAGCCACTTACATCAATGTTAAATTTACTAAACTCAGAAAAATGTGTACAAGACATTGTTAAAACACGTGAAATGTGGAAAAAAACAAATAAATAAATCGGAAAAACGGTTCGGTTCGAACCAGAACAATAGTGCGAAGATCAAACGAAAGTATCGGAAGGCGAAATAAAATTAAATGAAGTGAAACGAAATTAAACGAAGTCGTACGTAATTAAATTAAACAAAAAGAAACAAGTCATGTTATTGTGATCTGTTACTGCTTGGTAGTTTATATTCGCACAAATTCATCTATACTTATAATAAATCTGTAGAGAGGTCAATTTTGTACATGAAATATATTTCCAAAATAACTATCAGGGGGTGATTAGTGATCGATACTGATGCCAAAAATGCAATCTGTAAAAATTTTGTCTATGTCTGTATTTTCGTTATAGAAACAAAAACTACTCGACAGATTCTAACGAAACTTGGTACGACTCTGGAACGCGCTTCCTGATGCCATTAAGAGACTACCGACTAAACCGTCTTTCAAAAAAAGCGTTAACGCACACTTTTTATTTTTATCCGAACAGTAAGTACTTTATATTATTCTCAATTTCGTGTATAATATAGTATATGTCATATATGTGTAAGTATATTTGTTATTTATATATATTTATTCGTTTATATATGTAATTTTAGTATGTATGTATATCAATAATTAGTAGTACCGCATTCGAGTATTCTGACACTTCCCTATGGTTGACTGGGAGAGAATGCTTTTAGCATTAAGTCCGCCATGTACACATATTTGTACTAATGAATAAAATAAAAATAAAATAAATACTCCTGGGCAGGTTATAGTATACTTTTCATCACGCTACGATCAATAGGAGCAGAGCAGTGAAGGGAAATGTGTCTGTTACATCAAAACCACTGAACCGTGAGGAAGGACATAGGCTACTTATTTTACGAAAAACGACGGAAACGCGGACGAAGTCGCTGGCAACGGCTAGTAATTCATAAAATTCTATTTTTTTAACAAAGCAACATCTTAGTTTTTTGCTCGTTCTTCGTTCGTTCGTGTGGCATGTTTTTTTATACCAAAAAGATGGCAAATAAGCGTATAGCCAGTCTTTTAATAAACAGTCCCTGTTGCCTATGGACGCCTGCTATGTGGACTTTCGCAAAACAACATCTAGATCAGTAAGATATTTATTCTACTTTTATTGTCCATTGTAGCATCTACCTAACAATTACACAAACGTAAGCCATTCAGTACAGCTAGGCGGAGGCAATACAAGCGCTCCTCGAGCCCCCTTCTTTGTAGGCGACTCGCAAAACATCTTGCTCCTTGTTACAGGACAATAGCTCTTAATTTAAGTTATAACAACTTCCAAATTTCAGTACCTGTTTCTTGTGAAATTGAGGATCTATTACTCGGTAATTTAATTTCAGTTTTAAAATTTATTTGACAAATTTCAAAATAATATGAACTTTTATTGACGGAGATGTTATAATTTTGATTGTCGTGAAATCAGTTATTTTTGTTTTAAAACTATTTTAAATTACTGAAACGATTTTGGTAAAATATCTATAAAATATCAGATAAAAGAATAATTTTCCAAATCGGTAAATAAATGACAGAGTTCTGAGGTGACGAACATAAAAAAATCACAACCGAAATGTGAACCTTTTTTAAAGCGGTTAGATTATATATATTATAGACAAAGTCGCGGGTAAAAAATAGTCGTTTACAAGTTACAGATTGTTTTATTTATAAAATAAATGGAAACGAAATTGTGACTCCACTTGTGTAATGGCTGAAAATGGTATGGTAACCCCGCCTGCGCTAAGGGGATACGCTGGCGGAGCACCAGTGTAGGGTGATAGATGAGAATGAAAACAGGCCAATTAGCCCATTATGATGAATTCATCAGGAATTAACCATGATAGCTCCAGGAGGAACCGCGAAGAGGTCGACCTGGTTGGGTATATTCTAGCAATGGGATTCTCAGTCTCCATTACTAACAATCCCTTTCCCCCGATGGAAAGTGATTACCCCGCGCATAGACACCCGCAACATTAGAGAAATTGCAGCTGTGTTGCGAGCCATTTAAAAAGGAAACTCAAAAAATATTTTACTTATTTTAAAAATTTTACAATTATCAAAAGCTACATTATAATATATGCGCTGTATTCTTTTTGCAAAAAACCAGGCAAAGTCGGGGCGGGTCGATAGTAAATTTATACAACTAAACTGACCTGGTTTGATGCACGACATGCCACAAGCCGCATCGCACAGGCATTTCTTCTTTTTACTTTTGCAGTCCTCGTCCGAGGAACACTTTCGCAGGCATTTCTGACCCTGAAAATAATAAAAAGTTAGTACCGTACCATACCATTAATTACCAATCATTCATTCATTCATAATCGTCCACTGTTGAACATAGGTCTTCCCTTATTAGAGTAGAGTAGTTGCTACGCTTGGCAAGCGGGTTAGCAACCTCAGTTAGGCTTTGGAGATGTTTTAAGTGGACAATGCACAAAACATCAAATATATATATATATACACACACACATATATATATATATATATATATATATATATATATATATATATATATATATATATATATATATATATATATATATATATATAATAACAGAAAAATGGAAAAGAATAAATACGGATTATATAGATAGAGCATCTAGCTTCAAAAACAAATCAAGTTTTTGTCAAATTAGTTGACTTGTATTTTTTTATCAATGTTCTATATACTTACGCACACTATGTACCTTGATTTATCTATATTTAATTATATAATAAATAAAATGAGTTGTTACGCATTAAAAAAAGTGCCGAATTTATAAGACAAAATAATAAATATAGAAGTTACTAGCTGACCCCGTAAACGTTGTTTTACCACTTATTACGAAATATAAAAGTCGCGATTAAAATACAGGGGTTGATCGTAAAACGATAAAAATTTAAAGTTGTGTGTATTTTTAATGCTAAATCATAATAAAATAAAAATGGAAAAATTTGTTAAATAAAAATAAAAAAAAAATGTTTGGGGAAGGTCACCCTTATCATTGAGGGGTATGAAAAATAGATGTTGGCCGATTCTCAGACCTACCCAATATGCACACAAATTTTCATAAAAATCGGTAAAGCCGTTTCGGAGGAGTTTGGTAACAAACACCGTGACACGAGAATTTTATATATAAGATAAAGGAATCACTCACAACTATTTATCACGCAAAATTGTATAAAAAAGTTGCTCCGCTTTTCTCGAAGCATTTGTATGGAGACACTCCATCTATATAATCTAAGGTGTTTATATCTATTTATTTATTTTTATGTATTTCTATTTCACGTAAATAAAACAATTTGCATTCAAATAATTTACATAAAAATGCCTCCGAGTTTGCGTATACAGACAATTTGTTTATTGGAATAATTCAAACATTCCAGACAATGTTTTCCCGCTGTTTCCCGTATAAACAGCAATCTGAGCGACATTGCCTTTTTAATTGACGCAAAGAAGGCCCCCGAGGGGAGTGCAAAAACGCTAGAACGACCCACGACGTATTAAATTGCCAAGAAAAATAATAGAACGATGTAAGCTTAGATTGTTAGTACCAGTCTTGTGTAACTACCATACTAGCTTTAAATGTATTGATTTGACCAAAAGGTTAAACATACCAGAGGGAGACTTTGAACAAAAGTCGATTGCTTGGGAACCTCTGTCCCATTCGTGTTTCTACCTTAACCATTTGTTTTTGCATGACTGTGTTTCGATTTGAAGAGTGGGATATATCGTGAATTTACAGGGAACAGAGGAATAACACCCGAGTCCTCAGGAATGGCACCGCATGAGGGGTATCATTAGCGGAACAGTATACTCTGTTATGTTCATGGTACTGCTCATGTCTATAGGCGACGGTTACCACTTTCCATCAGGTGGGCCATCAGGTTGTTTGTCATTCTAAGTTGTATAAAAAAAAAGGTTTAACAAGGTTTTGGCTTTTGACTTTACGACCGACCGCTTGACGTCAATTCTTTTTGGGTCCATCGGTTATTACATCGTCATACCAGCCTTTAACTGTCCACTGCTGAACAGAAGCCTCACCCTTGGGAGGTTTTGCCAATAGTGGCCAAGTTTGACAGGTAAACTGGCATCCGCAATTAGGCTTTTAGGTATACTTTAAGGAAGACGCTGCTGTCCATCCCTCGCACTCTATTAGTCACCTCTTTCGACACCCACGGGAAAGGAAGGAGGGTTACATTCTATATATATACTATATATATACTATTGTCTATTCGAGGAAACAATAATGAGTATCTGTCTACATATATAATTATATAAACTGCTGTTGTAGTCCCAAATAAACTAAATAAATAAAAAAATACAATAAACTAAATCAATAGGGTCATACCAGCATAGTAGCCTGGACTTCATCCCTGGGGCAGTCGACCGACGGAGAGTTCCTGGGGTTCTTGTACACACGACCGTCATCGTCGGCGTCGGCGCGGCCCTGGGTAGGTGTCGGGTCATCCTCATCCTCATCCTCGTCCGCCGTCGTCGGGCTCGGTAGGGAGGATACTGGAACAAACGGTTTCATGTAACTTCTAATCTATATTAATATTATTTGGTTTGAGAGACTTTGCCTCTCTTTGTGTCTTCTACCACCTGATGTAACTGTCGCCTTTAAAATGAGCAAATCTTGTTTTCTGCCAAGGACTCAGGTGTTATTCCTTGTTTAAAATGATGTTCCTTCTACAGTAAGAAATCCTAAGGAATTTTATCATGCCACCGCTCGCCATAGACAGGGGATTCATCCTCACACGCTTGAACCTAAATGGTCACGTACAGTGCGGTTTCAAAGGAATTTTGTCCGCGAACGCTCAGTCTGTGGAATCAGAGTCGAGGTTTCCCCTAGAGACTACTGTATAGGGTTCTTCAAAAAGGATATATTAAGGTTTCTTCAGTGCCGGCAACGCGCACGTGACACCCAGTAGTGTTGCAGGTGTCCATAGGCATAGGGTTTTTTATCTATATTACAATACGATTTGGCTTAGTTTTACGACCGGCCGCCTGTCTAACGTCAATCCTCTTTGAGAATGCATTTGTTGGTGGTTTCCGCCACCTATGGTATATAGGAAAGGATTGAAGAAAAAAGTCAGGGAACGTTGGAAATGCGTAAAGGAAATTGGTAAATAAAAGGGATAAGTAGCTTATTTGGAAAAGTAGGGGGGTACACTGCAGTTGCGGAAAAGACTGGGACACTGCAACGGCTCGGGAGGCCGGGATCTCACACCCGTATACCCTTATTCTAGAATCGGACAGATTTCTAGTAAAGAACACTTCTGACGCCCTGTAAATTATCTGTATTTATTATTTTTACAAATGGTGCAATAAAGTGTCAACAAATAAACATATTCCGATCACGTGGATGAATTCGCGGGTAAAAGCTAGTGGGTATATAGGTATAATAACAGAAATGTTGATTATATAATCCATGAATAAAGAAATGATCCATGCCAGTAACTCGTCCCGGTATTTCACCCAACATTGCGAAACAATATGACGTCGGTCTGACGTCGCCTCGCCCGGGACATGTGTGCAGTGGAGCGATTCGCAGTTCGCTGACTCATGACAGTCATTATATTGATTATTCTATAAATCCAGAAGTATCCTTGTTTTTAATAAACTAGCTATCCGTCCCGGCTTTGCATGGGTTTTTAAATATGATTTAAATTAACATATATATGTTTTATAAGTGATGGCAGTTAACCCGATCTTTTAAGTCAATTATAATCAACATCATCATTATATCAACCGTTAACTGTCCACTACTGAACATAGCCCCCCTCCCCCCCCTGGGTTACCATTAGTTGCCATACTTTTTTTATGCAACTTAAAATGGCAAACAAGCTGACGACCCACCTGATGGAAAGTGGTAACCGACGCCTATAAACGTGAGCTGTACCATGGACATAATAGAGTATACTGTTCCTCCATGATAGCCCCCATGCGTTGCCATTTCTGAGGACTCATTTGTTATTCCTCTATACCTTGTTTTACTACCATACCCCACCTTTCAAAACGAAACACAGCGGGGGGTTAAGGGATTGTTAGTAATGGGGTCAAATAGCCCCAATATTAGCAATATACCCTGTCAGGTCGACCTCCACGTGGTTCCCCGTGGAAACCATCGTGGCTAATTCTAGTTTAATTCGTCAAGATAAACTAACTGACCTGCTTTCATCTTCATGAATCATCTATCACTGGTGCCCCACCATTGTATACCGATAGCGCAAACGGAGTTACCATACCATTATCACTCATAAAAAAAAGCCGAAACACAGCCATGCAAACACGACTGCTTCATGGTATAAACACGAATGGAACAGAGGTGCTCAAGTAAACGACTTTTTTACAAAGTCTTCCTCTGGTAAAAAACTTGCCAGGCAGTTAGGCTTTGGTGACGTTTTAACAAGGATGCCGCTGCTCATCTTTCGACCATTTCTTAAGTCGCCTCTTACTACACCCACTATAATAATTCACCTGAATTGTCTTCGACTTACTCTTCATCCCGTACAGTAAACATATCCTGGTCACGCGGACGAAGTCGCAGGCAATAGTAATACGACAAATATATAATAATTTCGAATAACTGAACTAAATAAAGATTGTTAAATTGTGTTCACAGGCAATCTTATCTGTCTTACGTTGAAATAGCGATCGTTCTCGCACCCACTAATGACAAAGGGCCTTTAATTAAATATAAGGCAAGATGAAAGGCCCAAATAACAGCTTTGACTCGTTCAACAGATTTCTTTGGCCTGACTTTGATGGAATGAACGAATTTGACGGAACGACAGCTTAGTACCTAAATGGAAGGCGATGAAATAAATAGGCTGTAAAACTAACGGAATGCCTATTCGCTTCTGTATCTTCAAGGTAGATCGTGTAGGTAGAAGGTACAATCCTAATTATAGACTTACGCGCTGAATGATTTATGGTTTATAATGAATTGAGATTATTAATAATAGGGTCTAATGGCTTAATCTTCATGTGGTCCCGACATAGAATAGGCCACCCCTTCCTTTCCCGTGGGTGTCGTAAGAGGCGACTAAGGGAGAGCGAGGGATGGGCAGCAGCGACCCTCTTTAAACATTTTCAAAGCCTGCGGTTGCCAATCCGCCTGGTAAGTGTAGCAACTATTGGCAAAGCTCCCCCCCCCCCCAAGTGGGAGGCTTATTTTTTTTTATTTATTTATTTTAACTGTCCAATGATGAATGGCGTAATTGCTAACATTCGTTTCCGGTCATCCTCCAGACAGACACACGCTAAAAGCTAATATCTAGTTGGATAGCTAATAATAGTAGGATCAAATTGAACCTAACCCGAGCTTATAAAACAGAACTGAAACTAATCCAGCCGTATTTCTATCTTTTCATTCTAAGATAAACATCAACTATCCACGTCTCCATGATACATATAAAGCCGGTAATCTCTGAGATCTGTCGGTTCTCACGAAATGTACCTACAAGTAGATAGTTACGTTCAATAAACAATATAATGAATATTATAAATAAGTGTATGATAATATTTATTTATTAATTTATTTTACACTTTATTGCACCAAGTAAAAAGAGAAATAACAAATACAGTAAATATTAATGAGAAGTGATACAAAAGGCGGCCTTATCGCTAAGCAATCTCTTCCAGACAACCTTTGGGTAGAGGACATTGAGAAAAAGACAAAGAGTAGGTGGCGCACTATTATATAAATTTTATCATATACAAACATATATACACATATATAAATACATATATTATATATACACAATAAAATATATACATAAACAAAGACATACTTAATAGCACACATAAATAACAAATGAATACCAGCACCTCTGTCCTCTTCGTGTTTCAACCGTGAAGCAGTTGTGTTTGCATGGCTGTGTTTCGGTTTGAAAACTGAGATGTAGCAGTGAATGTACAGGGTACAGAGGAATAACACCTTAGTCCTCAGGAATAGCAACGCATGGGAGGTATCATGGGCGAAACAGTATACTCTGTTATTTCCATGGTACTGCTCATGTCTATAGGCGACGGTTACCACTTTCCATAAGGTGGGCCGTTAGCTTGTTTGCCATTTTACGTTGCATAAAAAAAGGTGTATCAGGTGTTAGTTTTGCTGCTATTAGACATTTGAAGATGACGCTTTTTTGTTATTATTACAGCCGTATGGTCCCGGCATAGAATAGGCCACCCCATCCTGTCCCGTGGGTGTCGTAGGAGGCGACTAAGGTAGCTTAATAGTCAAGGTATGAGCAACAGCGTCCGTCTTAAAACATCACTAAAGTTTAACTGTGGTTGCCAACCCTCTTAGCAAACGTGGAAACTGGCAAAATATCCCTTATGGAGAAGGTCTATGTTTATATATATGTGTATGTATACATACATATCTATCATGCCTGTCTCCCATTAGAGTAGGCAGAAAAAATTAAAGCACAAATATTTAGTGCTTAATTTCAAATTAAATTAAATTTCAATGGAACCCCAAATGTTTCGATTCAAACAAACTTCTTTCGCTTCTACCACATGCATCAAACTTTTCATACACGCTTACGATCTGTCTAATTAATTAAATATTAGTTAAATTAATTATACAATTTCATCTGAACTAAACAGTAAAATCGTTGTAAGACAACGATAAAACCGGTCAAAACCAGATGTTACCGGTATAATGTCGTTATACTATCCATTTACGAGCTACATCTACCGGAGTTATGGTGATATTCACAATTCTTTGGAGTCATTCCTTTTTTTACGATCCACGTTGTGCTGGTAGTTGATTTGGGACTTTATTATTATGACTGGATATTTTAGATCGCATTGCATTGTATTTTTCAATTATTAATTTTATTTCAAATTATACTGTAATAAAAAAAAAACCTATATCCTTCTCCGTCCTATATACCAAATTTCATAGAGATTGGTTAACCTTTCTTTGCGTAATGGTGGAAATTTCCATTATAACATTGAATGCCCAAAAATTTATACGAGTAAAAGAACAATTTCTCTTTATTTTCTTTTAAAGAGGAGGACTTTGTACAAAAGTCGATTGCTTAGGTACCTCTGTCCCATTCATGTTTCAACCGTGAAGCAACTGTGTTCGCATGGCTCTGTTTCGGTTTAAAGGGTGCGATATGGTAATGAATTTACTGGGTACAGAGGAATAACACCTGAGTTCTCAGGAATGGCAACGCATGGGGGGTATCATGGGCGAAACAGTATACTCTATTATTTCCATGGTACTGCTCATATTTATAGGCGACGGTTACCAATTTTAGTATAGTGTTATATTATCTGTGCCACTTTCCATCAGGTGGGCCGTCAGCTTGTTTGCCATTCTAAGTTGTATAAAAAAAAAGTTGATCGTGTCTGGATACCTTTTTAATGTCCTTTGCAAAAAAACCATAGCTGTCAAGTTTATTTTTTTTACCATTTTTCCTTTAATTTTGAACACCTTGATTTATTTCACCAATAAAAAAAAACATGCAAAGAAGGGTTAAACAGTTAAGGCGCTA